TCGCTCGACTGGATCGCGCGATGGGATCGCGAACTATGAACGCGCTCTTATGGGGCTGCTGGTAATCATTGCACACACAGGGTCGCGTTGGGTAACGAAACCCCTTGGAGGAATGTACACTGGTAGGTTTTTCTTTAGTGTAAGTCAGCCCGTAGCTGAAATGAATCGAAAGGCTTTCATGGCGATATCATTTCCTGCTAAATTAACGGATGGGATACAGTATCCTAACTGCGCATGAAATTGGGGGCGTAAGAGCGCCGAAAGCACACAGACTATCTCAGTTTGCTCCTGAACGGCATTACCCTGGAGCTAAACTTATAATCTTGATCACTTCTTCCTGAATCACCTCATTCTCACCTATAGAAATGGATAGCAGGAGAACAACTGAACTAGTAGGGAGCCTTCAGAAATTAACGTTGGGCGTGGCATTGGACGGTGGGCAGAGTTTCGCTTTCATCGCAAGCGCCCATTGTCTTTATCGTGCGCTTTCGAGCGTGACGAATGTGTGACAACGTCTGTCTCACGGACCGGAATGCATTGTCTAAGAAAGATGTCGCAGTGGTTTGCACACGGCTTCAGTTACACTCTTCAGTAAAGCTATTTCACGACTTAAACGCCACTTTATAGGTTGGTCTCAAAGGGCCCTTGGAAACTCCCATCGGCAAGGGACATCGGTCTCTCAATCTTGCAGTACGAAAGTGAGTAAAAGTATAGGCGCTAAATATTCGCTCAGATGACGTACTACAAAATGTTTTCTCTTAAGATCAATCATTTTTCAATTACCAGAAAATGGTTATTCACAACAACTTTAGGGAGTTCAATCTTTATGCTAACGTTCGTCCTTGTCGATCTCTTGAGGGTCACAAAACCCTTTATGACAATGTTGACGTGGTAACCATTCGCGAGAACACGGAAGGAGAGTATTCTGGAATTGAACACGAGGTTTGTCTTCCAAGCATTATTTGCTGTATTCTGCTGTAATGTTTCTCGACCATGCAAATTGTGAAGAGGCTTCATGTGATTTCATCAATTCATTTGATTTATTTGTTTGTACTTTTCGTACTGAGCTTTTCGACTTGTGAAGCTGCGAGCTGGTGTACTGCTGACATGCATTTGCGCACTTCTGACGTTGAAATCGAATAATTATAATCACTACTTTTTTGAAAGAACTCTAAGTTACCCATAAACTCCTGAACTCAAGTGGGATTCCAGGTTGCACTCTCGTTTTCCAAGCGAGTGCACTATCCTTTATCCATCAGGGTCGCTCCTAGAGTGCGTTCATATTTTGCGTCAGCACTTTGAGCGTTTCGAGCGTACGGCAGCATTTTGAGCGTTTCGTGAGCAGTCGCTTGAAATAACTGGAGTACGCTCAAAATGCCAGATCGATATGTATACTTTCTAGTCGCGATGTCTAGTCGCTCGAAACGCTGCCGTACTCTAAAAACCATCGCAAAGAATGAAAGCAGCCTACCCTCTCAGCCGAGTGGCTTTTAACGTGATGAGGTGGTTGGGCGATATCGGCTGTGACCCGCGTGGCTGGGATCCCTACATGTTTTCGAAGTTGTTTTGTTATGGTAACTGCTGTACAACGCCGCA